ATGGATTCAGAGGGGGGATATTATATATTTGTCTCAGACATTTTTTTTGATTCGACAGGGGATCTTGTGGGTGATTGTCCTATTGACAATACCACAGTGGGTAACAATTATGGACGTGAGGGATCTGATTCACCTGGTGAAGTCCCGTTTATTAAAAGTAAACTGAAAAATATCTGCAGATTTCTTCACTATTTAAATATGCACTCCCTAAAGATGAACTGGAGAAAGTTCCAAATGGTTATTTTTTTCAAAAATGGTGTGCCCAAGACACACGGTAGTGTATCATGTGACCAACACTGTTATTAACAGGAGTGACTGTGCTAAACCAAACTAACACATATTTTCAGTGGATGTGCTCCACTGGACTCTTATTTCACAAACCAAATTTCAAGACAATCCATTAAGAAATACCTAAATTTTGATTGAGTTCATTTTTTTTTCGCACCAAAAGTATGGAAACTTTACATGATAGAAAAACATACTCAACTACTTTTATGTTGTTTTTTTTCAAATTTGGTACAGCAATAGATCTTTTCAACCTACAATTAGGAGTCTCATGTGGTGTAAGTATTAGCCACATGTGCAAAGTTATTCAACAAAAACCACTCAAATTTAACGATACTTTTTACGCACGCCTACGCAAAAAGTCACGTGAGCTATCGGTCTAACATTTTTACTACTGTGTCACCTAAAAGTAAAAGTGGACCGTTTTTAGTTTTTTTGTGATTTCGATTAAAGACGACTGGTTTAAAGCAGTAAAACTATAAGATGAAATGACGTGCAGATACACAAGTATTGGTTAGGCTAAGCAAACTAGATTAGCAGTTTCTAACTCAAGTTTTCAAAAGAATCGTACGGGTGCACGGTTATTATTGATTACACAGGCCTCTTATGGTTTTATTGTCTTGAAATATTTACATGTTCTACAGTAAAACCTGTACGCTGAATTCGAAATTGATATCCATTTTTTTCCATCACGTACAGATTTTTCACAAAATGTCATATGTACTTTTACACGAATGAATCATTTTCATTGAAATCGGGTCATATTTTGTAATGCTTAAAATGTTGACAACCACTGGCTATAGATTTCTCTAGACCAATCGCGACGTGAGAGTCTTAATAATCGTTCTAGAACCCCCGAGAAACACACCACAAGTATATAAACGGTTAACAAGCCGCATGACGTGTAATTTCTGAATAGTATTTGTTTGTGCGTGCACTTTGACATTGTTTTTCTTCTTTTCAATATTATTTATTCGTCGCTATGGTAACAAGAGGTTGTGTAAATGACCCAAACATATTCTGTCATATTTGAGGTAAGTTTGTGTGTTACGTATTACAATTTCGAATGGTCTGAAATTTAGTAGTAGTTATATAAATACCAATGTATTTCCAATTTATGATGTTTGCCAATAAGATTGATACACACAGTTTTCTTTTTTATTAACACAAATACATCTTAAAGTTACTCCTTCATCACAATCCTTCTCATTATTGAAACAGTAAGTCCGCATTATATTTTACAAAGTAGAATGGAATCTCACAAGAATACCTTGCGATTCTGGATGATACACACTAGGTTTGATCTGTTTAGCACCAAACTGATAAACAACTTGTTGAAACAATCCTGACATAAAATTTGATCCTTTATCAGACTAAATGTCTGTGGCCAAGCCAACAAAAGTAAAGAAATTGAATATTTTGGGCTGAAACGTTTCTCAAAGGGCTTCAGGGAATCGAGTGGATGTACACATGATAGTAAACAAATACTGATTCTCTGATCGAGTTTTTGGTAAAGGCCCAACACAATCAACAATCACATGACTGAAGAGTTTTTGAAATGTTGGGATAGGTTTCAAAGGAGCAACAGGAATTTTCTGGTTAGGTTTTCTGACCAACTGACAGGTGTGACAAGTTTTACAAAAATGAGAAACATCTTGCCTAGTTTTTGGCCAAAAGAAATGTCTCATAATTTTGTCACATGTTTTGTTGACACCTAAATGACCTTCCATGGGGAGTTCATGGGAAACTTGCAATATTTCAAACAACAATTTGGTAAACAATAGCCCAGTTCTCTGAAGCTGGCACATCTAGTGGTCTCCATGTCCTCATAATCAAGACACACGGTAGTGTATCATGTGACCAACACAACCTGCTGCAGGACATTATTGGTTCTATTAGAGTATGTGTTAATCTCCATTATTGGTTCTATTAGAGTATGTCTTGAGCTCCATTATTGGTTCTATTAGAGTATGTCTTGAGCTCCATTATTGGTTATATTAGAGTATGTTTGGTTCTATTAGAGTATGTGTTGAGCGTTGAGCTCCATTATTGGTTCTATTAGAGTATGTGTTGAGCTCCATTAACATACCCCAATAGAACCAATAATGGAGCTCAAGACATACTCTAATAGAACCAGTAATGGAGCTCAACACATACCCTAATAAAACCAATAATGAATACGCTATATCTAATAGAACCAACAATGGAGCTCAACACATACCCTAATAAAACCAATAATGAATACGCTATATCTAATAGAACCAACAATGGAGCTCAACACATACCCTAATAAAACCAATAATGAATACGCTATATCTAATAGAACCAACAATGGAGCTCAACACATACCCTAATAGAACCAATAATGGAGCTCAAGACATACTCTTATAGAACCAATAATGGAGCTCAACACATACCCTAATAAAACCAATAATGAATACGCTATATCTAATAGAACCACTAATGAATAAGCTCAAGACAAACTGTAATAGAACAAATAATGAATATGCTATAGCTAATAGAACCAATAATGAATAAGCTCAAGACAAACCCTGATAGAACAAATAATGAGTATGCTATAGCTAATAGATCCAATAATGAATAAGCTCAAGACAAACACTAATAGAACCAATGCTGAATAAGCTCAAGACAAACCCAATAGAACAAATAATGAATACGCTATAGTTAACAGAACCAATAATGAATAAGCTCAAGACAAACCCTAATAGAACCAATGCTGAATAAGCTCAAGACAAACCCCCAATAGAACAAATAATGAGTACGCTATAATTAACAGAATCAATAATGAATAAGCTCAAGACAAACCCCAATAGAACAAATAATGAATACGCTATAGTTAACAGAATCAATAATGAAT